AGAGTGAGTCGCGTCGCAATTTTTTGAGTGGGACAAAAAATTGCAATTTTTGTCCCTTTTGTCATCGGTCTCAGTCTCAGTCTAATGTATATCAAACGCAGTACAACTTGTTCGCTTTTTTGACAGGAATAACCAATACGATTGTTATGATGCAGTTACTCTACTATTGCATGGACGGCTGCTTTAAAAAAGGGCGTGCAGCCGGACGTAGATTATGGATACAAGGCTAAAACCACAGTTGGAACAGTGTTCAACTTCTTTAGTGCATTGGGTGATGTTGCATTTGCATATGCGGGGCACAACGTGGTGTTGGAAATCCAAGCCACTATTCCATCGACCCGCGAGAAGCCTTCAAAGGGTCCCATGTGGAGGGGAGTGATTGTTGCCTACATAGTTGTTGCCATATGCTACTTCCCAGTTGCCCTTATTGGGTATTGGGTGTATGGAAATTCAGTCGACGATAATATTCTTCAAACTTTAAATAAGCCTACGTGGCTAATTGCCATGGCTAATTTGATGGTTGTGATCCACGTCATCGGTAGCTACCAGGTGCGAAAACAAAGGATGTAAACAAGGCAAAATTTAAAAACTTTAGACTTAATCGGGAAAGTTTTTTTTCCTCGTTTTTCTCTATTAAGTCGTTATTTTTGTAATAAGTCAACAAAACCTAACTTTGTCATTATCCACATTACCTAAAGTAGGTTTTTTCTTGTAGGTCTACGCAATGCCCGTATTTGATATGATTGAAACTGTGTTGGTCAAGAAGTTGAACTTCACCCCTAGTTTCATTCTTCGGTTTATCACAAGGAACATATATGTTGGTAAGCAAACTATAACATATAGACCAATGACAATTAACGATTTTTTGGGGCATACACATTATTAACCGATGAATTTTCTTCCTTCCGTTTGCAGCATTCACAATGTTTGTAGGAATTTGCTTCCCTTTCTTCGGTGGACTCCTTGGTTTCTTTGGAGGATTTGCTTTCGCCCCCACAACATACTTTGTAAGTAACTTCATCTTTTCCTATCTCTTCTTTCTTTTCGCCATACTCGATTAATGGTTTTAATTTTGTTTTTATTTGTTCTTTATCGTTTAGTTGCCTTGCATCATGTGGCTTTCCATCTGTAAACCTAAAAGATGGAGCTTATCTTGGATTACCAATTGGGTACGTATTACATGTAACATATTCAGCTTCAGCAGTTGATATTGATTAAGACTACCGATAACTTCCACCACGGTTTTAAGCTAAACCAAATGTTTTGGTCTAGTGTATAACTTTGGACTTAGGGTGTTACAATATCCAACACCCAAACGAACCATATTTTCATACTTGTTTAATCATTTCTATTAACACCCGATTCACATATTTCAGATATGCATCATACTTGGAGTTGCTTTGATGATCGTCTCACCTATTGGAGGCTTAAGGCAAATCATTGTACAAGCCAAAGATTACGAGTTTTTCTCTTAATTGCAAAGCAAGTTATCGCATAGAACTTAGCTTGTAAGTCAAGAAAGCTTGTAATGATGCTATGAAGACCACTATAAGCTATTCAGAAATTATTACGGTTGAAAAGAGTGTTTATAGGGAAGAAGAGGAATACCAGTTCCATCCTTTATTTTCGTTTGAATTGTTTTTGTTTTTTGTTTGCGGTTAGTTTGTGTGCATATTTATATACATGTTTTCAAACTTGTATCTATAGATGTGAATTGTACTCCAAAATTACAATCATATTCGCTATTTATACACCAGAACTCAAGTCTATTCTAGACTCACTTGTAATATGCTTCCATGTAATGAACAAATACCATTATTACAACTCCTATTCATCTCTACCAATGTAGATTTTTGTTCTAATGTGTGTAATTACAACAAGATTTACATTGTGTGCATCTAAATATTGGTTTAGTTGTCACTAGGATAAAAGAAAATCATATTCATCCTTCCCTTTCAACCCTAAGAAAAATACACATGACATTTGGCACTTAGGAACAAGACATGAAAATGGAGTTTCCAAAGACTTTTTTCGATTGAGATCCTTAAGACTTGACAATAACTTTTATGAGACTGCTAGATACAGAATAAATAGCCGGCTTAATTTGTCTCATATGGACTAATCTTTCTTAAAGGAAACACTACTTAAATAAGTGCATCTATAATCTACCTTTCTGTTTCAGTTTTGTTACTTTTTCTTCGATATTATCATCACAAATTCTCCCATGGGAACTCAAGATACAGATGATACAAAGTCATTCGATGATTTAAAAGGGCCAACAGCACATGCATCCAGTTTTGTAAGATAGTTTTTTCTTAGAATGCTTTAAAAGACACGTTTTTATGAACAAAAAGCATAAAAGAAAATTTAAAGGATGCGATTAATTTGTACCCTTTTTTTATAACAGGATGAAAGGACAGAAGAACAGAAAGCCATTGATGCATGGCTTCCAATCACTGGATCAAGAAATGCAAAATGGTGGTATGCTGCTTTCCACAATGTCACAGCCATGGTTGGAGCTGGAGTCTTAAGTCTTCCATATGCCATGTCAAATCTTGGATGGTATTGTATCTCATTACTCCTAAAATTGAAAACACAAAAAGACGATTTTGTCCTTCAATTCCCATAAATTTCTTCGTTTAAATACTAGAGTAACTTTTACAGAAATGGTTTCCTATGCTTTCTGGGTTTAATTTTACCGTGTTTAGTAAAGAATTGGAATGTTTTTCAATTTCGGTCCTTTTTTAAAGGTTTCGTATCGACTTTGGTCCCTGGGAGTCTGGGACTTTCTGATTTTGGTCCTTATTTCAAGGTTCAAGGGACCAAAATGGATATGAAACCATGAAAAAAAAACTGGATCTGAAAAAAGGTTTCGAATTGGGACATAACATGGTAAATTTAGTAAATAAAATTACATTTTTGGTCCCTGAGCATAACTTATTTTTTCAATTTTGGTCCCGAAATATTTCCTCTTGCAATTTTGGTCCTTATATGAGGTTCTTTTAGTGTTTTTCGGACCCTGTTATAAGTAAAATGACTATTTTGGTCCGTGAGTATTGCTGAATTTTGCAATTTTGGTCCTAAAAATATAGTCATTTTACTCGTAATAGGGACCATAAACATCACAAAACCCTCAAATAGACAAATAAGGACCAATACTGCAAGAGAAAACATTTTGACACCAAAATTTGGAAAACAGCTATACTCAGGGACCAAAAATGTAATTTACTCAAACCAGAAAGAGCAAAGACCATCTTTTTAATTTATACTAAATATCTGATTTTGGTCTTTATTTCAAGGTTCCAAGAACCAAAAACTGATACGAAACCTTGAAATAAGGACCAAAATTGAAAAAACATCTCATCTTTCGACTAAAAAACTCGGTCAAATTTAGAAAGAACAAGGACCAATTTTGTAATTTATTCAAAATATCTGAATTTTCATTCCTTATTTCAAATTCATGGACCAAAACCGATACAAAAACAATGACCAAAACTGAAAAAGATTTCAAATTTGGACTAAACATAGTAAACATTAGAAAGAACAAGGACCATTTCTGTAATTTACTCTAAATACTAACAAGATGAAATTCTTCCAAATACAGGGGACCTGGTGTGGTTATACTAATTCTATCATGGATAATAACCTTATACACACTTTGGCAAATGGTTGAAATGCATGAAATAATACCTGGAAAACGGTTTGATAGATACCATGAATTGGGTCAAGAAGCTTTTGGTGAAAAACTCGGTTTATATATTGTTGTTCCTCAACAATTGATTTGTGAAGTGGGTGTGGATATAGTTTATATGGTGACAGGTGGCGTATCTATAAGGAAAATCCACAAAACTCTTTGTGAAGATTGCAAAGAAATTAAAACAACATATTTCATAATGATATTTGCTTCTGTTCATTTTGTGTTGTCTCACCTTCCAAATTTCAACTCCATTTCTGGCGTCTCATTGGCTGCTGCTGTCATGTCTTTAACGTGAGTTTTTACATCTTTACCCTTGTCAATTGTCATTAACTAAAATGGTATTCAAGAATTATAATTTCAAGGTTTTGTATCTATTTTGGTTATTCATATGAAACCTTGAAATAAGGACCAAAATTGAAAAAAGTTTCAGTTTTGGACTAAACACAGTAAAAATCAGAAAGCACATACACCATTTTGTAATTCACTCTAATTTTAAGGTTCCAAAGACCAAAAATCGATACGAAACCATGAAAAATGACCAAAATTGAAACCACATAGCACAAGGACTGTTTTTGTAATTTACTCTAACTTACAGTGTTATGGCCAAACACCTCGTCGATTTTGGTCCTTATTTCACGGTTCCAGAGACCAAAATTGATACGAAACCTTGAAATAAAGGACCAAAACTGAAAAAGGTTTCAGTTTCGGACTAAACACAACAAAAAATCAGAAAGTTCCTGCTAAACCAATTGTTTGATTTGGTTCTTATATAAAAGTTCCAGAGAAAAAACTCGACACCATAACTGAAAAAACGTTTTTGTTTTGGACTAAACAAGGTAAAAATCCAAAAACACACGGTCCATTTTTGTAAAAATCAGATACCACAAGGACCGTTTTGTAATTTACTCTAACTTACAGTGTTATTGCCAAACAGCTCCTCGTTTTGGTCCTTATTTCACAGTTCCAAAGACCAAAAATTGACATGAAACCTGGAAATGAGGACCAAAACTGAAAAACGATTCAGTTTTGGACTAAACACAGTAAAAATCAGAAAGCACAGGGACCATTTTTGTAATTTACTCTAATATAAGGTGTTTTTCCCAGTTACTTGATTTGGTCCTTATATTGAAGTTTCAGATATAAAAATCGACATGAAACGTCGAAAAACGTTTCTGTTTTGGACTAAACACGGCAAAAATCCAAAACCACAGGGACCATTTCTGTAATTTCCTCTAACATAAGGTGTTTTTTTTTCCGAAACAGTTACTCAACAATTGCTTGGACAGCTTCTGTGAATAAGGGCATGCAAGATAATGTGGAATACGGGTACAAAGGCAAAACCCCATCAGAAACAACATTCAATTTTCTTTCAGCTTTGGGTGACGTGGCATTTGCATATGCGGGCCATAATGTTGTGCTTGAGATCCAGGCAACAATTCCTTCAACACCCGAAAAGCCTTCAAAGGGGCCCATGTGGAAGGGGGTGGTGGTGGCTTATGTGGTGGTGGCTTTGTGCTATTTTCCGGTGGCTTTTCTTGGATATTATATGTTTGGAAATCAAGTGGCGGATAATATTTTGATTTCATTACATAAGCCTAAATGGCTTATTGCTGCTGCTAACTTGTTTGTGGTTATCCATGTCATCGGTAGTTATCAGGTATTTCTTGTTATTTATAAACGCAACATACTTGCTTTGAATGCCAATATGACAAAACCTCGTAAATGGTCCCTGTGGTTTTCTAAAATCTGGGATATAGTCCGTAAGTTTAAAAAACATCGTAGATGGTCCCTGTGGTTTTCAATTACGATCGTGGTTCGGTGGTTGGTCTCTTACCCATATAAAATGACATTTATACTCCTTTTAATTCTTTTTAATTCTCACCCAAGTTATTGTTACATATTGCTATTATTGGTGAAGAAATGTAAGTACCTTGTTATGTGTAAAGAAAATGTAAGTGCACTGCGTTATTGATTACATATTGTTATTATAAGTAAAAAAGGGAAAATGACACAAAAGGCACTATGTTTTTAATCCTTTTTTTTTCCGATTTTGACGGTGTATTTTTTTGTTTTAAATCGAGCATTGTATTTTCTAATTGTGTTTTATGTTGACATTGTGTTTTTCACTTTTTTTTTTCGATTGACACTGCATTTTCCAATTTTTGTTCGAGAGAGAATATATTTTCACTTTTTCTGATTTGACATCGCGTTTTCCAACTCAGGATGCTAAACCGGACCCTAGCAGGGTCCCGGTGAAATGGTCAAAAATCAAAATTGAACAAAATTCGAAAATGCGATGTTCGATTTAGAACAAAAAATAACAGTGTCGCAATTTATTAAAAAAAAGGTGAAACCATAGTTTCGTTTGTGCCATTTACCCTAAAACATGTAACAAAGTTGTTATGAGTAAATAAAATGTAAGTATATTGCTATTATAGGATATTTTGCCATTTATTTTTACATTTTTCTAATAACAATGTATTTGCATTTTTCTACATGCTAACAAAGTTTTGAGTTTGTATAGATCTATGCAATGCCGGTTTTTGACATGATGGAAACCTTGTTGGTGAAAAAAATGAAATTCAAACCAACTTGGATCTTGCGATTTTGGACGCGTAATATCTACGTAGGTTAGTAAAGTACAATACTATTTCAAGGCAAAATGTTATTCATTTATCTATTTTAAAGAATCACTGACTAATCTTTTCTTTTTTTTTTTTTTTTTTGGATTTCAGCATTCACAATGTTTGTTGCTATAACCTTCCCTTTCTTTGGAGGTCTCCTAGGATTTTTCGGAGGCTTAGCATTTGCCCCCACAACTTATTTTGTAAGAATATCTTTCGAGTTTTATAAACATTCACATTTTCTTCAATTTCTTAAAATCAAACTAGTTTCTTGTTGTATTGACTTTTTGACTTTTTGATTTCTTAAGCTTCCATGTATAATGTGGCTTGCCATTTGCAAACCAAAGAGGTTTAGCTTGTCTTGGTGCACTAATTGGGTAGGTTTTAACTTTTAAGACCATACATTATTTGTTTTATAAAATAAAATGAAAACTAAACTAACATTTTAATTTTCAGATTTGCATCTTTCTTGGTTTGTGTTTGATGATTCTATCACCTATTGGGGGACTTTACAATATCATTAAGCAAGCCAAGGATTATAAGTTCTATAGTTGATCATTATCACTCAAAGTAAAAGTGGAAGAAAGCAAAATAATAGGGGATTTGTGTGATTTTCTTTTCTTCTTTTTTCTGTTTATTATTCATTCTTATATGTTCTATGTGTTCTACAATATTTGTAACATATCATGAATAACATTCTCAATTCTATTTCAGAAAGAGTAACTATTGATTTATGATTCTCTTTAATATATATCCCATGAACATTAGTACATTACAATATATATATCCCAAGTCAGACTTAATTCATTCCCTTTTCTATGTACTTTTCTTCTCCTTCTCAAGCTTAAACATTCTTTCTCTATACAACTCGATCCAAAGATTAGAAATCCAAAGTATACTAACGGAAATAGCCATGACAACAACACAAATCCAAGAAACCCAAAGCCATTTGGGAATAACATTATCAGCAACCCCACTCGAATAGAAAACAACCATTTTGTAAACAAATAAAGGTCCAGCAAAACCTCTAACAGCAGAATATAGAACATAAAATGGAGGAGACAAAAGATCAAACACCTGGCGTGCAGTTTCAGAATCCTCCCTTCGAGCACTTGCCAGCGTCCAAACATTCTGAAAGAAGCTCGTGATCTCCGCCAAGGCAAGTAAAATCAACACCGCGTATGCTCCGTGAAGAACGAGATATCGACAGGTAACGAAAACGAAAAGGGTGGCTAAATGATGACCGATGAAGAGGATATCGGTTGGGTAGAAGGTTAAATAGTGGCAAAGATCCATTAAGAAGTAAGCAATGCTGTATTCAAGAACGGTATTCTGAAAATGAGTGTTGATCGTGGCGAACCCAGTTGTGGAATCGGCGAGGAGGGCGAGACAAGCAAGGATCACGGCAGGGGTGCCATGGGCAAGTGAGATTAAGCAGCTGGCGGCTTCAGGGCGGAGCTTCGGACTCCAATTACGGAAGACGATGAAGTGGGCAGTCAAGTATATTGTAAAATACATTGCGAAGAAGAGAGGTAGACTTGACATAGAAGAAATTAGGCTTGTGGAATCCATCGTTAAATTCACCCAAATTCGATGTTGTTTGGATCCTAATTCACGAAATTAGATGGGGTTGGTTTGATGTATGGATGAGATTGTGAAATCAAAAAGCTATATGAATGAATTTATAGATATGTCGCGTGATCAAGAGGTGGAAGACGATCGAGTTGATTAGTCATCCCGCCGCCAAACCAAACCCTCGGTCAAAATTGAAAGCTTTTGCATTATCCATTAAGACGCACTCACTGTCAACGAGTTTACTGGTTGAGGTGAAACGGATGGGGATACAATCAATGTATATGCTCAAGGACTCGAGGTTTTTGTCATTATATTTTAATCGTGTTATTGGATATTCTACTAGTTAAATCATGTTGGAGTTATGTTTTAAAAATGAGTTAAAACATATGTTGAATGATCTAGGTTCATTTTCAATTTTAGTTTTAAGTAGACAGCTTAAGTACAATATTATATAGTTGATTGGATGGATGATCATAATATTATATAGTTGATTGGATGGATGATCATGCGAGTTAGAGTCGTTTGATAGTTGTTAATTAGGTTAGAGTTGATTGAGTTAAAAGCTGACTGGGTTAGAATTTCCGACTGAGTCAACATCTGACTGAATTTATGTTGTTTGATTATTTATCGGTCTGACTCTGATGAATGATGAAAAATAATCATATTACCCTTATGTTGTGCTAGATAAAATAATTATAAAAATCTGATATGTCACGTAAAATCTAAATAAAACATACATTATTTAAAATCCAAATACAAATTGTCATACAAAATCCAAATACAAATTATTATAATTATATATATATATATATATATATATATATATATATATATATATATATATATATATATATTAAAGTTGTGAAGAATAGTAACAGTAAAGTTGCACGTTGTTGGTCTATTTTGGTCCTCCAGCTTATGTTGCTTGCTTCTGTCATTGAAGCTCCCTCTACTTTGTTGTATTTGTCACTTTATTTGTTTCTTATATACCCAAGTGAAGAATAGTAACAGTAAAGTTGCACGTTGTTGGTCTATTTTGGTCCTCCAGCTTATGTTGCTTGCTTCTGTCATTGAAGCTCTCTCTACTTTGCTGTATTTGTCACTTTATTTGTTTCTGATATACCCAACCAGGGTACTGTTCATGGGGTTTAATTCCTCAACCATGGTCACCGCTTCATCTGGATCTTTCTACATTCCACTATTGCACTCTCCCAGAAACCCACCGCCTCATCTTATTCTTCCTCAACCCTCTGTCACCGTGTCCTCTTCTATTACCTCCTTGCTCCGGCTCCTTCTACTACTATGTTTTTCAATTCTCTGTTTCGATTAGGGCTCCGTTTTGATGAATTTCTCTTCCTTCCTGCTCATGGATCCTCGATCTCCCGTCGATTTTTTCTTTGTATCCGTCTTCACTAATTCGACCCCTACGTCTTATCGGAAAAGGCATATTTTCACCATCACTCAGCTACTGTTTCTGGTACGTCTCTTCCCAAACTTGATAGTGGTATCTCGATTTCTTCCTATCTTTCTAAAGGTTCTGATTTTTATTTGATATTGTTTAGGATGTTGCTTAGATAAAGGGAAAAGCATATGGGACGCTCTAAAAACTGGGAAAGAAGAGGGTTTGGGTTCGGATTTGGGAATGGATCATGAATTTCGTGCCAAACTTTGGTTCAGATTCGATCTTCATTCTGGTAAGTGGTTGCAGATAGATTTGCATCTTTGTTTTATTACCCAACAGAAATTTGGGAACACTGATTACTTTCTTCATTCAATTACATTTTAAGGGTTTTTTTGAAGCTTCACGAATTAGATAATATCCACTCCAATATCAGTTTTAATATCGATTATGAGTTTTCACGAGTCGGCCCCTACCACGAACTCTGTTAACTCCTGCTTTCTATGTTACCACCATCGAACCGACAGTACACCACCAACGGGTTTCAACATGAGTTTGGTCTCTTGCTGTTCTTGAAGCTATTAAAAAGGTACTCTCTTGCTGATCCTGAAGCTATTCATTCCTCATAGTATTATGAACGAATTGGATTCTAATTTATAGAATTTACCCTTAATCCCTTATGATGTGGGTGAATGAACGAATTGGATTCTAATTTATAGAAAAATGGAGGTGAGACAGAGGTTGTTAAGGAATGATTTGATGAGAATAACACTTTGTTGATCTATTTTTCATATTTTTCAACAATGAAAATGTACTCATATGAAGAAAATAACAACACCATGCCACTTCACCAGCCACATCCACTTTTAATATATATAATAATGCCAAAATATCAAATATAGAGAGCTTGGATTTCAATGATGTATTGGGTTGGACTAATTTACACCAAACTTAACTTAACCTTTCGCAGGTAGAACACAAGAAGTAATTTTCTATTATACTAAGGTTTGTTAAAAGAAGGAGATTGGTAATAAAAGCGGTGGAACGCACATGGATGCCAAAAGTAAGTATCTTGAACTATATTAATTGTTAAAGGTTAATAATAATAGAAATTACTACATTTTGTTCTGAATCTTATGTAGACAGGTAAGTTGATATAACTTCAATTTATGCCTTACAATTTCTAACAAGTTTTTAAAACTTTCTAATGGCATTTTCGGTATTTTAGTGTCAACTGTTAGCTTATGTTAGCTTACAGAAAGTAAGATGGAGTGAAAAATAAAAGCAAAGTTGAGGTAATGAGAAAGCAAGAATAGGCTCCTCTTACCGACTTTCCTTCACAGAAGATTGAGGCTCAAGTTGTTGTAGTGAGTGTTAGTTTATATGCATTTAGTAGAATTGTTTTGTATGGTTAATTCATTGCACCTGATTTCGTCCTTATGCAATCCCTTCATTCCCAACTTTTTATTTTTTATTTTTTTTTCTTTTAAAGGAATCCAATTGTGAGAAGTGACAACTCATATGCGTTTATCAGATGGGTACAATTTTTTTTTCTTTTTTTTTTTGTTGCACACTTTGTCCTGAGAAAAGATGCACCGCCTGGTAAGCAACAAAGTTTTCTGTAAAAATTCTTCAATCATAATCATATAACTATCCACTATAGTAATCCATATCATTTGCTTCAATCATAATCATAGAGTTATGGATGATTTCGCTTTGGAAAATCATTTAATTACAAGAAAACATTACAACGACTTAATTTGAATAGTACCAAAGTGTGATGATGCAGCAAATAAAAGTAGTGATCTCTTTCTATTTTTCTTATTTAACCTTCTTATATTTTTGTCAATGTTGTATACATATAAATACTTGAGGTGTTACGTTTTTTAGGGACAAATGGTAAAGAAATTTGCCTTCATGCCCTGAACGTATATGGAGTTTAGATTCTTCAATTTCCCAATAAAGTATTATGAAAGCCCTTGATCATCACCACCGCTAATCTCAACCACCGCCGGTAGGTATGAAGACGACATGGGAGGCCGGAGGATTCGAAGGAAGTGGAAGGGAATCTCTCTTTTGGTCAGTTTTTTTATTTCCTCTACGCTTTCGTCCATAACTATACCTACACTATTTTTTGTTATCTCCAAGAGCTTAGTGAATTCTAAACTTGAAACTTAATTAATAAATTGAACTTTTTTTTCTATGTTTAAACAAACACTTGACAAATCTCAGGAGGTTGCAGGTTTTAATCGCTTTGGATGATAAATTAGTAATAGCAACACTCATAATACCCAATTTCTTATTTGTGTATTGTTTTTCTATTATAAATTGTAGGTCCAGCAACAGGTTATTGAAATTGTCACCCATATAGCTTCTACAACATCAAAGTTGGCATAAAAAATGTTTTTGTACTTTGCATATCAGGTAATTTTTTTAGTTGTAATTCTAATTTCATGAACGTGAATGAATTATATTCATGGATATTCGTTCTTTTTCTTATAAAAATATTATAACATAGGTTCGATATCTGAAGTTCTATTCTGATTCATTTTTTTGGTTATTGATGATGTGTAATTTCTTTGTTTCCCAATAACCACATGTACTATTGTAATTGATTTGTTTATCAATTCCTTAGATTTTTATTTCAATTGAATAGGGGTATCACATGATATGCAATTTCCATTTCAAGCTAAATGAAAACATATGTATTTTTTTATATCTAGGAAGACAGTATTGAAAATGTGCACTGGATTAAATAAAACTTACAAGCAGCAACTATTAACACTTCTTTCATCATGTCATGTGTCCAACTTATAGTCGACCCGGGCTATTTTTGAATGTTTGACTATCATAAAGTTGACTAAGAAAGTCGATGAATATAAATTTTAATTGCAATCTCATTTTTTTGCAGAAAATAAAAGCAGATGATTGTGATATGGAAATGTTGGTACTTTGTTTCAAATGATTAGGAGGTGATAGTCGTATTCCAATGGAATTGGCCTTAAAAGTCACAAGAAAGATTACAAGAGAGATGCTTGCAGCTTATGTTGTCATACCAATGTACCAATATGGCTTGCAGTTGTTCCATCATCTACTGTTGTCCAACAAATTATCTATTGGCAGGTATAATTACCTTTTTACCCTCTGGCTTTTAAATGTTGGTTTGTTTTATGGATATACCATTTAAATACTTTTATAACATACAGAGCGAGAGTCGAGCTGGTTGGGCACTTACCTACAAAGCTTTTTAGTAGAACTCCGGAGGATGCAATCCCCACGTATCTGAAACAGCTTCAACAACAGAAAAGCAACATATCATTCCTTCAGTTTTCTTAATTTTCATAATCTATTATAAAATGTAGACTTGAATAATGCATTATATTTACATAATATGTGGCCTTTTTCATGTAGGGTTTAGATGGGGTTGGTGTACAAATGAATTTAAATTGAATGCAAAAAAATAATATTTTATGCACTTAAATTTCTTCAGTTAATAACAGGCATGCATTGAGAGCACATATGCTATGATCCAAGGTCTTGATATCCCGAGCGTTGCCCTTCTTTGTCAAGCTGATGTGATTGGTAAGAACTACTTGAT